GAGGCAGTGAAATTACTAGGTACGGAGGCAGTGAAATTACAGTGTACGGAGGCAGGGAAATTACTGTGTACAGAGGCAGTGTAATTACAGGGTACGGAGGCAGTGAAATTATAGTGTACAGAGGCAGTGAAATTACAGGGTACGGAATCACACTGTAATTTCACTGCCATATCTTATTCGTCGAACCGAAATACAGCCAGAATAATTCATTTGCATTTAGTATACGGAATCCGCAAAAGAACAAAAGTCACCGACATAGTCTTAAAGATAAGCACGCTGTAAGTGCCAATAGGCTGGTCACATAGCTTTAAGAACCGACAACCGATGGAGAGGAAAGGTTCTTGAGTGGCGACTCCATTGAAGAAAGGTTCTTGAGTGGCCACTCCAAACGCAGTATAGGAAGGTTCCCTACTAGATGGAGTGACGACTTCAAATGTACTGCAGGAGGTCAATGAATGCAGGTGGTTCAGGACCGTTCCTTACAGCAGTCTACGGGGAAGGTCTATGTTCAGCAGTGTACAGACAATGGCTGAAATGATGATGATGATGATGATACGGAATAGTGAAAAAATATATAAATGTAGAACATAGACAAAATATATAAATGAATTAAGACCCTTCTCAAGGTATAAACAATATTTCTTAAGTGGCATTCAAAAGAAAGTTCAGCCAAATTCCAAAAAGGAAGTAAAACTAAAATTTCATCCAAAATGAAGTTTCTAAATTCATCGTCCTATAATCTACCTATTAAAAACTTAGTGGCTATAGAATCTTTGAAATCTTAGCTAACATTACCCCAGCGAGATACGATATATTTTGCATACAAGGTGCATAATGTTGCATAATATACCCATAAAGATCTGGGGGAGAGGCGCTGCAGTTTGCACCGCCTCTTACACAGTCTCGAATTTAGTAGACAATTTTATAAAATTCGGTTCGTGTAATTATATATTATTTGTTATAATAAGTACAATGTGTAGTTTAATAAATAATATTCGATATTTTTATGTAATATTTATATAGGTGTTTGTATTTAATGCACGTAAAAGTTATTAATTCACCCTAGCGCCACCTATCTAATTTTATCTGTCCTCCTTCAACCAAAAATTTTCTGTAAGAGATTACTCTAGCTATAAGACCGACTTTTGTATCTTTATGTATGTATTTTTAATCTGTACTTTATGTTACTGTATTTCACTTGAATTTTCTAATTGTCATTATATATTCTTATATTTTTTGTGCAAAAAAGAGTTAATATTTTTTCTAGCGGGAAATTTTATACAAAAGTTATTAGTTAGTATTGCTGTCCTACTCATGTTTCTGTCATCAAGAAGCTGAGGCTGCACAGTTTGGTTTTAAATGGATTGCGTCATTTTAAATACGTTTATATGAATTCTATGCGACCCATTCATTGAAAATAAAAAAAATTATCGCCATTAAAAATCTAGATTATTTATAATATCTATCGACATAGATTTTTTGCATAGAATCATATTATAAACACTATTAACATAAATTTATTTTATTATATTAAAAACATTTAGATGGTTGCATAGATTCATGTTCCAGTTTTGTGAATACAAGGACAGTACCGACTCTGAATGACATAGTGATTATTTGTTCTGTACATATAAAGTTGTTCTATGTAACAGTCGGTCTAAAGACTGGAGTGCCGACCTCAATGTGTAGCAGAGCAAAAGAGGGTAGGCGTAGGCAGCTACTTCCCAAAATTATTTTATAGACTCAAATTACGGGCGAAAGTTTTATCTAATAAAAGGCTATTGCGTTGGAGGGTAAAATTACAGTTGTTTATTTTTTCTTTACTATTAGATATGCGTTGGCGGTGAAGTTCAGTCGAACGACGGCTGACTTTGGTTCGGAGATTACAGGATCGAATCCCAGTTTATTTAATTTTCGAATTCGTGTGTTTAATTTTAAAACTAATGTATGAATGAAATGAACTAGTGACTTGCCCCAGCGTTGCAAGGGTCTTTTAGGATAAATGATAGCCCATGTTATTCGTTGATAATGTAGCTCCCTATAGGTAAATGAGTTTTTAAATTCAGTTAAGTAGTTTTGTGTTTATGAACAAGTAAATAAACACAAAAAAAAAATGAAATCTTTTCTCTTTATATTATGAGTTTACACAAAATACAACGATTAATGATGAGATTCTTATTATAAGATACATCTTATAGTATTTATTATACTTTATTTATTTATTTATTACATCAACTGGATGAGCTTTACAGTGTTCCAATACGCTCACCCAGGAAAGCATCAGTACAATAACATATATATAAAAAATAAGAATAATATAAAAAGATTTAACTTAACTAGAAATAACATTAGAGCCTAAATCTCTGAACACAAATACTCTGTGGTCATCCGACGAAACTCCAGCAACTTGAAGGCAAATACATCCAATTGCGTATACCGGCACAAAATATCATTGAGTAGTTTCAGTGCAAGAGATATAGATATAGATAATAATTAGTGTAGCAAACAACCACGTCCTACCCGATGGAAAGTGGTAACCATCGTCTATAGATATGAACAATAGCATGTTAACACTAATATTATAGTTATGGTACAATATAAAAATTCTAAGTTGCATAATAAACATACGATTGTATACAAAGTTTAGTATTATATGTTAATTTTTAAAATATAGTTTTATAATAAATTATGGACAGTAAACTTGTGTTGATCAAGTCTATCAAACAGTACTCGTTCTCGAGTATGACGTGCGAGCCACATAACAATCCAGTGCTCACGCTGTCAATAGTTTGCATATTATAGTAAGTATGGCTTCTTTATAGTTGCTTAACTACGTCATAATGCATTATATTATATGTAACTTACAAGTGCAATAAAGAATATATATATATTTATTTAAGGATAACCAACAAAGCATACATTTATATCTCCTTAAAATATATTATAATAAGGTTACATTATAAAATGCTGCCTCAATTAAAGGCCGCCACGACACGCATACATATACGCACACAATATCACATCAGAAGAATAGCCAATTAGGCACCTGAGACTTCGCAGCCTTTGTTACAGCTATAGAATATTAAAAATAAAACTTCATGGAAGTCTGTACTTAATGACTCCGCTTATATTACAGACTGTTCTGAGAAATAGTTTGATTGCAGTATTGTCATTGTCAGGTGGTCCAGCTCAAAGAGTAAGTAATCATAACGTTAAAACTCAGCACTGCTTTTATATTGACGAAACTGTAAATGAATCTATGCAACCACTTAAAAGTACAAACATAATAATATAAAAAAAAATGTTGTACAAGTATTTCGTTGTGATAGTCATTGTATCTATTAAAATTTTTTATTAATAACTAAAATACAATCGTTGTCTGTAAAAACAAAAGCTGAGTTTATTGCCTATTCTTCTCAGTTGAAAATGAATTTCGTATTGAGCAGTAGATTTATATAAAGTGACTATTCAAAAATATTTATAATTATGTTCACTTGAATTAATATTTTAATTTATAATATATCATCGTTCAAAATATCGAAATCGACAAACGTCATAAAAGCCTATTTTTTTAATTTAAGAGTTTCCTCTTGTCGGTGCTAACTAATTAACTAAATAATTAGCACAAAATTGGTTGCACAGAATTCATACAAACGTTTTTCTGTTCAAAGTGACGCGAGCCCGGTTCAGTCACATAGTATAGAAACTAAATCATAGTGTACGATACGGTTTCAAAGGAGTGTATCCATCCCTATGCTCAGGTTACGGGGTTTTCCCAAGAGACAGCAATATGGGATTCTTTAAAAAGGCGCGAAAAGGATTCTTTAGGGCCGGTAATATCTATTACGCTGCGCCCCTACCATTATAGATGCCTATTGGTTACGGTAACCGTTTTCCGTATTGTAATGCTATGTTAATATTTTCTGTGACAGTCATTGTTTTAAATTTCTAAACGAATATTGTAAAGAGAAAAATATTGTTTTTTGTTTGTTTGTTTGTAATGGATAATCTCAAAAACTACTTAATCTATTTTCAAAATTCTTTCACTTATAGAAAGCTAAATAAGCAAGTAGCAAGTAGCAAGTAGCTATATCCCACCCTTCAAACTGAAACACAGCCATGCAAACACAAATGCTTCACGGTTGAAACACGAATGAGACAGAGGTACTCAAGCAATAGATTTTTGTGCAAATTCTCCCTCGGTTTGAAGGGTAGTGGTATGGCAGTGAATTTACTGGGTACAGAGGAATAACACCTAAGTCCTCAGGAATGGCAACGCATGGGGGTATCATGGGCGAAACAGCATACTCTGTTATGTCCATGGTACTGCTCACGTCTATAGGCGACGGTTACCACTTTCCATCAGATGGGCCGTCAGCTTGTTTGCCATTCTAAGTTGTATAAAAAAAAGCCCTAAAACCTACTAATTTGCTACTTCAGTGATTTAAAAAACAACACAGCCCTCCAGGCACACCTAATTGGGCAACAAAAAAGAAGTATAATCGGAAACAAAGTTACTCTCGAGACCAACATTACGGCGCACACACGAGTCTATTTGTCAAGAGTTTCCCATTAGAGGCGTATTTTTCAATTTCAATTTTTCTATTATGCGGATTTTGTGCTATAAAAAAGAATATGAGACGCCCCGAAGAAAATAACGAGGAACAAGAGATAAAAAGTGGCGCCCCCGCGCTGCGTTGCCCCCACCGGTAATTTCTCTCCGAGATCGAGTGCGAATAGTTCCACTGGTAGACGTTTCAATTTATTCCGCTAAGGTTACACCGCCGTTGTGAGGTGGAATGCGAGTCGACACGAAGAGCGATACTTAAGTTTGGAGGTGGCATTATTTATTTATTGAATTTTAATACACCTAGATAGTGGAAATGGCGGATTTAACTAGTGAAAGGTCGATGGACCGCTTTTTAGGTCAAAGGGTCCGAATTTGTCGTCAAAATGTATTAAAATTAAAAGGCAAAATTAGTCATCAAAATTACGTCCGTCTTCTTATCGGTCTTTTGTCTAAGTCCTTTTGTTTTGTCCCAAGCTGTCAGTTTTAATTGTAGAATGTCTTAGCGGCCAGCGATAAAACCGGTCAAAGAGGCCGCAACATCCCCACCTCCAGTATTGGAAGCCAATACTCCAGGCATGGCCTAGGCGCGGACGTCCAGTCTGGCCAGCTTTGTCACTGGTCGCTTATAGAGTCCAGTCGAAGTCAGCACGTCAGCAACTCGAACCTTGCCGTCCTTCCCAGGATACACTGCCGTCACTCGTCCTTTGGGCCACTGGTTTCGTGGGAGTTGATCGTCAGTTATAATTACAACGTCATCAGTCATTAACGGTCGTGTTTCTTGTCGAAACCATTTGTCTCGTCTTGTCAAAGTTGGTAAGTACTCTTTTATCCAACGTTTCCAGGTAAGGTCGGCCAGTCGCTGGGAGTGACGCCAGGATTGTCGCAGTAAGTCACCGTCGTCAAAAGTACCTAAAGGATGGTCCATGTCATTTGTCTTCGTCATCAAAAAGTCATTCGGAGTTAAAGGTAAGTCGTCGTCCTTGTCAATAGGTACATACGTTAGTGGTCTACTATTTACAAAATGTTCTGTCTCCGCTAGGAGTGTTGACAGAACTTGATCACTCGGCGCTGTTTCTTTTAGAGTGACACGGAGAGCAGTCTTAACAGAGCGCACCATTCGCTCCCAACAACCTCCCATATGAGGGGCGTTAGGGGCGATAAAGTGCCAGTCAATACCCCTGGTACTTCCGAATCTAGTTAGTTCGCCTTTGTCCAAGGACGCCACGGACAATTTCAGCTCACGGTCGCCTCCTTTAAAAGTGGTGGCATTGTCACTCCATATTTGTCTTGGGTAACCACGACGAGCAATAAAACGTCGGATGGCCATGATAGCACTGCTTGTCGATAAATCATGTGTCACCTCAATATGGATAGCTCGAACCGTAAGACAGGTGAAAAGAGCTCCATATCTCTTCTCTCGATGACGGCCTACCTTGACCAGCATTGGGCCGAAATAGTCCAGACCCGTATACTGGAAAGCGCGTCCACCAGGAGTCAGCCTTATATCGGGTAATGGTCCCATCAGAGGTGGGTCAGGTTTTGCTCTCCTTATTCTACATAACTGACAGTCATTCCAAATAGACTTGACAGCGTTCCTTCCACCAATTATCCAAAAACGTTGTCGAAGATTATTAAATACCAGTTCCCGTCCACTATGGGTTGCATCTTGATGGTACTGATGCATGATGAGACGCGTAAATTTGTCTTTTGGATGCAAAATGATTGGGTGTCGAGTGTCATTGCCAACATTCGCTTCGCGAATCCTCCCACCAACGCGGAGAATGTCGTCTTCATCCAGAAATGGTGTCAATTGGCGTAGGGAGCTCTCTTTGTCCACTTGTCCACATTTTTTAATATTTTTAATATCGTCAGAAAATATTCTTCTTTGACTATCCTTAATAAGCGCCTTCTCTGCTTCTTTAACTTCGTCCGCTGTCAATTCACCTCGTTTTCTGTTATCTTTGTGAATCCAGTTACATACAGCGCGGTAGAACCACGCGGTACTTCTTATTAACCTCCAAAACTTTGAGAATCGGCTGACGTCAGGCAGATTAACGGGCATTTCAGTTAAAACTAAGATGGTTTTCACCTCAACGTCGTCAGGATCAACAACAAATTTAGTTTCTTCAGACGGCCAGAATTCCTTGGACCCCCGGAGAAACTGTGGTCCATATAACCATCTCGTATTATCCTCGGTAACTGTCTCTCTAGCTGCATCGTCTGCCGCATTCAGGCCTGACGGTACCCACCTCCAGTGATTAACGTCGGTTAACTCGGAAATCTCGCTGACACGATGGGCAACGAAAGGCTTAAAACGACCGCTGTCAGAACGAAGCCAGCTCAGAACAGTCTTAGAGTCAGACCAGAGTGTTAAGCTTGCATCAAAGTATTGCTTCAAAGTGTGAGCTAGTCTAGCACCCAGCAAGGCAGTCTGTAACTCGAGACGAGGTATGCTCATTACTTTGAGTGGTGCGACGGGAGCACGTGCCAAGACGAAAGCTACATGCCAACTACCATCTGACATCTTGACGCGTAGATATGCAACGCTCGCATAAGCCTTACTGCTTGCATCGCAAAAAATGTGAAGTTCTAAGTCAGCTTGTTTGTCACACATGTCAGTAAAAAGCCAACGAGGAAGTCTAAAGTCGCTGACCTTTTGTAATTCCAACAACCATAACTGCCATTCCTTGAAACTAGTCGATTCGATTTCATCGTCCCAGCTGATTTTGGATTTCCAGATATTTTGCAGGAGAATTCGCCCCTTCACTGTCACATATAAGAGGAAACCCAAAGGATCAAGAATGGACATCGTCAATCTTAATATGTCACGCTTGGTTGGTTTCTTCACCCCTGACTTAATGTCCTCGCTCACCTTAGGAAGCTTCAATAGAAAGATAAACTCATCGGAATCCTGGTTCCAGCGCACTCCAAGCACACGTTCTACCTGATCATCATTGGAGTCAGAGAGGATCTTCAGGATACACGGGGATAGCTTGTCTGAAGGTAAGTGTTCCAATAGTGTATGAGAATTAGAGACAAAATTCCTTATATTGAAGCCACCTGCAGCATGTATACGTATTACATCATCCACTACGCGTACCAAGTCATCCTCATCGTCAAAAGAGTGGATGTAGTCGTCGACGTAATGGTGGTCTATAATAGCTTTGACAGCTTCTGGGTGAGTCGCCTCATATCTACGAGCATTCAAATTTTTTACATATTGAGCTGATGATGGTGAACAGACAGCTCCAAAAGTCATGACATTCATGACATAAACGTCATTATTCCAGAGAAGTCTTTGGGCATGTCGGTCATCTTCCCTAATAAGTACTCTATGAAACATCTCTTGGATGTCACCAATTACACAATATTTGCCTAGACGGAACCCTAATAATACAGCAGGCAAAGATGTTAAAAAATCAGGTCCACTCAATAAGAAGTCATTGAGTGACTTACCGTCAGACTTAGCTGCACAGTCAAGTACAATTCGCAACTTATTAGGCTTATTAGGATTAAAAACGGCAAAGTGAGGAAGATACCATGTCTTATTGGTCTGGATCGAGGCCTCTTCAGGAGTTAATTTTGAGATGTATCCTTTATCAACATTCTCCTGGATCTTCTCCTCATACTTGACAGCAAGCTCAGGATACCTACGAAATTTTCTCTGGATACCTATAAGTCTACTCTTCGCCTGTGGGTAGCTATTCGGGAGCTGAACGTCATCAGACCTCCAGAGTAGGCCGGTCTCCCATCGTCCTTGAGGCAAGAGTTTCGTGGTCTGTTCCATAATCTTCAGCGCCAGCTGATCCTCTCGAGAACGAGGAAAGTCACCTGTCTGCTTCACGCCGAAAGACTCTGTGGAAAAAGATCTCTTAACGAGGTCGTGTAATTCGTCACAAGAGCATAGATGTAATATAGTTCTGTCATTCGCTATACTACGAAGTCCTATGTTCCCATGTACAACATAACCCAAGTCCGTCTTAGATATTATAGGTCCGTTCTTATGTCCTTGTATTATTTGTCTAGTAATAATTAAGTCAATATTATCTTGTCCAATTAATAACTCAATCTTTCTAGGTCGTATGTCATAGTCTGTCACATAGTCAGTCACATAAGGAAATTTATTTACAATATTTTTATATGAAAAACTACAATATTCAAATTATTTATAGAACGAACACTATTTACACTATACACATTTTTTTCATTCAAACCGCGAATATTAAATGACACTATTTTCGAGTCCGTCTCTGTGGTTGACATTCCGGACACACCACGCATGTGCAGATTTGTCGTCGGACCAGTTATGCCAGCCTTCTCGAGTAGAGCAGCATCAACCAGGCTCACAGATGCGCCTTCATCAAGGAGAGCGAAGGTAATGACGTCACCTTTTGTACCTGATACAACTACTGGCACGACCTTCAGTAGTACATGCGAGCTTCGACTGTCGTTGTTCACTGTCGTTTCAGCATGATTGACGGATATTACTCTATCATCAGTCTCATCGTGTGGAGCAGCATGAAGCAGGGTGTGATGAGCACGGACACATTCAGGAACAGAGCATTTAATTTTTCTCTTACAAGCTTTTAGTTGGTGTCGTGCAGATAGACAAGAGAAACATAACTTTTTGTCAGTTACCAACTTCCAGCGGTCGTCTATCGTCATCCGTTTGAAATCATCACAATCACTTAGTCGATGATTACCGTTGCAGAGCACACATGTAGGTGATGATGATGAAACTGTAGCCACCACCGGTCTCCATGGTCTATGGTCAGGCTTGGTCGGCGGCTTCGCAACAGGATTATTTATAGTCTTAATAGGCAGTGGAGCAATGTAAGTGGCAGCGCTAGCTACGGTCATGAGCCACTCAGATACATGACATAAAGTTACAATATTTACATTTTTATTTGATATATACATACTCCATTGATATTTCAATAGTGACGGCAGTTTACTTATTATTTCTCGAATTAAAGTGGGATTAGTCAAATGTCCAACCTCTTCTGTCATTTTCATCGTAGCTACAACATTTTGAATTGCAGTCGCATATTCTATTAAATGATTGACGTCGTCATGACGGACTTCACGCATGAGCCTTATTTTATTCAACCTGACTTCTATGATTAATTCAGGTCTACCAAATCGTAACTTCAATGTGTCTATTATTAGTTTCAGGTTTGTAGCACTCATTAACAGCGCAGATACAGCGTCACGCGCACGGCCCTTCAGGCAGCGCGCTAGTCGTGCGATGTTTTCATCGTCACTATAACCACACAGCTGTGTTGTCGATATATACTGCCTATAGAACAACGGCCACTCATCAGGCTCACCGCTATACAAGGGCAGCTCATTTGCGCTTGTTTGCCTGGCTAGGAGTTTAGACATGTTCGTGTTGTCATTCTCTAGTCTGCGTGTAGGAATGTGTGGTGGTACAGGCATCATTTCAGGCTGTGTCTGTGTATCAGTATTGATAGCCGTCGAGATAGCGTGAGGCATACTAATATTATTTTGATACGCCATACCTGAGGTTGTAGGCAGACGTAGGGACTCGCGCGACTGTGTCCTATTGAGCATGAGGAGGTTGTCTTCATCTTCAAGCGCTTGTGCTGATAATGCAAGTTTTTCTTCGATGAGTCTGGTTTGTATCAACGCGCGCTCTTCCGCGGCTTGCAATTGTAGTTGTAGGAGTCGTTGTCTTCTTACTACAGTCGTGGTGGACGTACTAGAGTACGAACGGGCGGATGGCGTGGGTGAGGGCTGGCGGCTACCGCGGGCGGACTGTCGGTCGTGTTCACCCTGGTCAGCAGTAGCATGCAGCGTCGTCGGAATTGTCGTCATCTTCGCTTGTCTTCGTGTCTGCACCATAGGTTGGTTGTAATCCGGCTCGAAGGACCACTTGAAAGGTCGATGGACCGCTTTTTAGGTCAAAGGGTCCGAATTTGTCGTCAAAATGTATTAAAATTAAAAGGCAAAATTAGTCATCAAAATTACGTCCGTCTTCTTATCGGTCTTTTGTCTAAGTCCTTTTGTTTTGTCCCAAGCTGTCAGTTTTAATTGTAGAATGTCTTAGCGGCCAGCGATAAAACCGGTCAAAGAGGCCGCAACAACTAGGAATTGGTAATAGCGATATCTATCTATCAATATATATCTATCGATCTGACCAAGTTTCAAGGTATATTTTTTTTTATACAACGTAGAATGGCAAACAAGCTGATGGCTCACCTGATAGAAAGTGGTAACCGTCGCCTATAGACATAAGCAGTACCATTGGATATAACAGAGTATACTGTTTCGCCCATGATAACCCCCATGCGTTGCCGTTTCTGAGGACTCAGATGTTATTCTTCTGTACCCTGCAATTTTTTGCCATATCTCACCCTTCAAACTGAAACACAGCCATGCAAACACAATTGCTTTACTAAACACGAATGGGACAGAGGTACCCAAGCAAACGACTTTTGTACAAAGTCTCCCTCTAGTAAATTATATTGCTAGCAATGGGACTATTGATTCTCATTATTAACAGTCCCGTCCCCGCGAATGCATGTTTAAAACTGACGTCATGAGACAAGTCAGATGTACTTGAATTTCATTATAGAATAATCGACTTTATTAATTCTTTAATTTGGGGTAGGTTTTTGATTCTGTCTTAGCGAGTATTATTACAATAGTTATTTTATATTATAGAACTAGCGATCCGATCCGGCTTCGCATTAGTGGACAATTTTCAAAAATTTTTTCATAGAATAAAAAAAAGGTTCAGCCAATTCAACTGAGCGGTTATTTTATAGCATTTTATATGTGATTTTTTACATTGATATAACTTTGTTATTTATGAACCGATTGAAATATAATAAACACTAAATGTTAAGTAGCGCAAACCGCAACGCATTAGTGAAAAACGCATTCAAATCGGTTAACCCGTTTCTGAGATTAGCGTGCAGAAACGTACAAGCAAAGAAACATACGGACCAACAGACAAAAATTCTAAAAATAATTATTTTCGGTTTTACTGCGTTCATAAAGGCTACCTATAATAGTTTTTTTTATATATATCTTCCATGTACAGACAGCGATCTATTACTATTTTATTATATGTATTGATTGATATTAGTGAGATAAAATAGTTACAGTTGTACTATAATGAATTACAAAATAACAATTTTAATGCCACATCCATAGTTCGTGGCTGAAGGTGAATGTGCACTCGGCTTAGACGACCTGCGTAAACAGTATTTTATGTCGGCGTGCCGCGCATCCGATAGGAAATTGTCATGTTGAATCGATCCTGTATCTCTTAGATGGATAAAATATTTGGTTAGCACACGACTCCCCTTGTTATCGCTCAGGCAAGCCAAAGAATATCCGGTACTGTAATATTTTTTAAACAGTTTGAAAAAGAAATGCTTTTTTCAATGGGTGATATTGGAATGGCAACCCCGCCTGCGCTAACAGTATACGCTGGCGGGGCACCAGTGAGGTATGATAGGTGAAGATGAAGCAGGAGCAGCAGAAGTTGGCCCATGGTGATGAATTCATCAAAAATTAATCATGATGGTTTCCAGGGGCAATCACGTGGAGGTCGACCTATTAAGGTATATTGCTAAGGAGGTTGAATCCTATACGACCTCGTTTAGAAACCATCTTTATTATTGTTATTATTTCAGTCGTTAACTGACCACTGCTGAACGTAAGCCTTCCCCATAAGGGGTTGGCAACCGCAGTTAGACTTGTATAGATGTTTTAAGAGGGACGCTGCTGCCCATCCCTCGCCTTCCCTTAGTTGCCTCGGTGTCGTTACAACCACGGGAAAGGAAGAAGTGGCCTATTCTATGCCAGGGCATACACGGCGTCCTTAATTCCTGGTAAACTGGTCATGCATTAATAAACCAACATAAATTTCATCCCTCACTATAACCCCACCACCGGGGCAAAAAGTGAGTGTCAGTAATTTGTCAAACAGTCTTTTTGCTAGCACTGTACCCTATCAGGTCGACCTCCTCGCTGTCTCCCCTGAATACTATCATGTTTAATTCTAGCTGAAGCTCCCCTTCTTTTCCATGGGTGTCGTAAGAACCGACTAAGGGAGGGCAAGGGAGAGAGACGGGGTTGCCATTCCAATATTACCCTTGTTACCCGTGTTGTGTACCCGTGTCCTTGAAAGTTGCCTGTTGCCTTTCTAAGGGTGTTTTAAATGCTTGGTAACCCTATTTGCGCTGGAATAGACTGGAACAGTAACTCTATCTGCGCTGTCGGTATTCAACGAAGCACCGGTGAGGGATGATAAGTGAGTATCCATCATTAACATCCACACACTAAGAGTGGGTAGCAATAGTAATGGTGACAATATATTGGCTCTAAAAAAGTAATATTTTGTCAATGATTCGAACTATTCCACTCAATGTACGAACACACCCCTATTTGTTATATAGAATTGTAGTTGGATAAAGTACGCGACCAATACCACGTTGTAATGAAAGATCTTTGCGCCAAAAGTTCGAGCCTCGAACTTTCTAACGTACTGTATAGGGGAATTAGGTTACGAACTTGTTAACAGGCGAAGCGAATAAATACTGTTTTTAATTGAAAGCATTTAGCACTTTGCTTGTTCACCATATCAGTCGTCTGTCCACTGTTGAACATAGGACTTCCCCTTGAGATGTTGTAAATAGTTGCCATGCTTGGCAGGCGGGTTGGCAACCGCTGTTAAGCTTTGGTGACGTTTTAAGAGAGATGTCGTTGCCTATCCCTCGATCATTGAGTTCCCTTAGCCGCCTCTTATGACACTTATGGGAAAGGATTTGGTGGCCCATTCTATGCCGGGACCACACGGTAACATTGCTAGTTATAAACATCTAATCAAACTACTCCAAAAAGGAGATTTTTAATTCGGATGTATTATTTTTTATTTGTTACTCATCATAATTTTTTTTATACAACGTAGAATGGCAAACAAGCTGACGGCCCACTTGATGGAAAGTGATAACTGTCGCCTATAGACATGAGCAGTACCGTGGACATAACAGAGTATACTCCCGTGTATTGCCATTCCTGTGAACTCAGGTATTATAACTCCGCCAGTTCTAAACCTATTTGAATTTTTTTATCTGATAAGAAATATATAAATTGGTTCCAAAGAAATATAAAAATAAAAAAAACTACAAAGTCAAATAAATCAAATAACTGGTTTTGTTACAGATAAAGTTGTTTTTTTTTTGTGGAACTCATGTATGAGTTTACAGTGCTCCTATCCAGTTCGAAACTAGTTGGACATCCCCGAATTTAAAATGTGAATAAAGTCCACATATGTATACAGTATGATTCCTTTCTCCTACATTCTTCACGACTCTGGAACGCGCTTCCTGATACCATCAAGAGACTACCGACTAAACCGTCTTTCAAAAAAAACGTCCACGTTCACTTTTTTACTTTGTCCGAACAGTAAGTGCTTTATATTATTCTCAATTTCGTGTATAATATAGTATATGTCATATATGTGTAAGTATATTTGTTATTTATATATATTTATTCGTTTATATACGTAATTTTAGTATGTATATAAATCAATAATTAGTAGTACCGCATTCGAGTATTCTGACACTTCCCTATGGTTGACTGGGAGAGAATGCTTTTAGCGTTAAGTCCGCCATGTACACATATATGTACTAATGAATAAATAAATAAATAAATAATGATCCACGTTCACGTTGGACATAAGCCGTCTAGCAAGCGACGGATAATGGCTGAAATAATGATGTAATGATGATGACTCACGTTAGTTACTATTTTTAAATATTAAAATTATCGCAGAAATACATATATTTTTACTTTACATATATTTTACATATGGCTATGGTAACCACTTACCATCAGGTGGGTCGTATGCTTGTTTGTCACCTCAGTGGTATAAAAAAAAATTTAAACATATATATGTATAAAAATTGTCTGCTTGAGCATCAGTCTCTCCTCAGTGTTTCTGCTGTGTAACAGCTGTCATTACTTGACTGTTTTTCGGTTTGACGACTCACCATAATCCAGGGTATATTGCTCACCACGATAATCCACCCTGGATTATGGTGGTGAAATTACACAATATCATAGTCCATAGGAGTGTTAACGCATGGGGTTTACATTGTGTACTTTGTGATATTCATGGTGCTGTACACGTCTATAGGCGACGGTTACCATTTTACCATTGTCCATAAGGTGAGCTGTGTTTATCATATTTAACAATGCCATTATATTATGTATCATATTATAATTGTGCGAGAACTCAAAGTGTAAAAAAGCAGGTGTCTAAACTCTATCTTTTCTCTCTCTCTCTTTTAGTCGTCTTCTTTTTGACCGCAATAATATCTTAATACGTAAATATATTCTAATTGAACTGTCAAATCTTAAAATCATTAAACTAAATTTCTAATGTACGTAGTATATTTATTTATTTTAACATGTACTGTATGAGTAGGTAGGTATTATATTTATTTATAGTGTATATATTTATATAATATTTTATTATATATTTTAATATTTTATTTAACTGTATATTTGTAAAATAATGTTGGTATTAATAGTTGTAGCACTTCAGCTGCCCGCTAACGACATGTTTTCTCACTGTACTGGGTTGACTGGAAGAGATCTCTGTCAGAGATAAGTCGACTCTTGCTCTATATATATATATATATATATATATATATATATATATATATATATATATATATAAAAATATATATAAAAAATATATACTATAAATTAAGATAATAAAAATAATGTGGTAAAACGCTTATATTGTTAAATCGCTTATTTGAACACATCGTTTCAAATCGCTATATCCCATTAGT